GTCCTGAAGGCGGTGTACGGTCGAGAAGACTCCTCCAGTGGCACTTGCCAGTAACCTTTGTACAGATCCAAGGTGGTGATGTACCTGGCCGCTCCGGTCTTCTCCAGCAAGTCCTCGATTCGAGGCATGGGGTAGGCATCAGTTCCTTCAATACAGACTCGGGGAGCAGTAAATCCCACTTCCCAATATTGCCTAAGAGTTTTACAGCTGTCCAGAACCGCTGATCTCTGAAGTGACGCTGAGGTGAAGACGCCTCTTCAAGAAACTTTTTGGGGTACAGGGGAACAAAGACATCTTCATCTACACAGCTTCTCAGCCTGCGAACCAGAGCCTCTGTGAATGCCTTGACTGGCTTGCTATGCTCTCCTTCAAAGATAGAATAGTCCTCCTTCAGACTGTGACACACATCAGTCAGACAGACAGACTGTTGGTGGGACATGGGATCCCACACCAGCTCCACATAAGCAGTCATTTTGGGTACGACGGTCCTTTCTATGACGCTGGACAGCGTCTGTCTGTCTGTGTGCTCCAGCTCTTCGTGGCCATGTCCATGACAAAAGGTCTCCACTGCTGTGAACCATGGGAGGTTTTCAAAGTCTCCACTGGTATCTTTTAAAGGGTTCCATCCCAGCAGCTGATGCCTGATGATGGGGTTCAGCAACTTGGGCAGACACAGAGAGATATAAGCATTGTGGTAGGACTCCAAGTAGCATTCCCTCCATTTTTCAAAGCGAGACAGAATCTTTTTAACACTGCAGAAGTCTTCTTGGACATCAGAAAAGTCTGCCTTAGACCTCAACAGTATGTCAGCTATGTTGTTCTGCAGCTGCTCCTGCTCTTCTGCTGAAGGTTATGTGTCTTCAGCCATATCAAAGTCTTCCTCAGTTTTAACACCGACGCTTACCTCACACTGAGTTTCTGATCCATTGGCTGAACTTGCACTCTGCTCTGCTGTGTTAAAGCCAAGCTGCTGCAGGTGGTCTGCCTGCTCCTTAATCTTCTCTCGTCTCTGAGCCAACAGCGCCTCCATCTGGCCAGACAGCAGAGTGTGCAACTGCAGCTCCAGAGAGTTGATCTCAACAACCTTCTCCTGGAAACACTCCACCATGTTGTGGGCATAAGTCGTCATGGTCCTGTAAAACTTAAGCTGCTTCTCTGAGGAGCTTTCCTCCAGATTCTCCAACGAGGTTTTAGCACCCTCAACATCGCCCTCCATCCTTCTGAGCTCTGCCTGGCGTGCTCTGTACACCTCCTTCAACGACTCAAGTTTT